TTCGCGCTTCTAACAATATAGGGGGCAGTAGCCACAGTCATAAACCTTCTTCGTTGATCGGTTTCAAAATTAATTTAAGTCGTCTCTCAGTTACGTCATTCCATAGCGGTGTACCAGCTTCCAAAAAAAAAAACCCTGGATCCACCGCTCTTGGGCTGTGGTAAAATTTTGTTTGCACGTAGCTTAGAGTCCAGGGCCCAGTTGTTTAAATGGCGGATAACGCTATCTTGTGGTCAAGTGATTGCAAAACGTACAAAGCTATCCACTGAAAGAGATTTATCCAGTAGAGAGCGTTATCCAACCTTCAAACAACCGCGCATCGATCACAGATGACACGAAGATGTGGGAAACACATTAAAATGGAAAGTAATTAGCAACGGCGAGTGTGTCACTGATAGTCATCGAGGTCATTTTTAAATTTTACCTATTTATTAATTTATCTATCTACTTGTTTGTTTTTGTTTGTTACTGGATATCTTTGGCGCTATTTATCAGATGAATTAAACAGAAATTCTTCCTTAGTATTTAGATTCCCATACAAATAATGTGTTACGAAGTCTCGGTCCATAAAAAATAGACTGAGGCTAATATCCAGCCATCTTGACCAAACAAGCTTGGTCAATAAGAGATTTACTGTATTGCAAAAAGAATTTGCTTCATTAGGAAATAAGATTTATTCGTTTCGCGAGCCGGAAAAGAAGGAGCAGCAAAATAAACTCACGAGAGTTCACTTTGTTTTGACTGTCTTTTGGCGCTTTTGCGTCTCCATCGCCGACATAATCCAAGAATTAAGAACTTAGTGCTAAGTCAATTTTTTCATGCGCGGGATCAAAGCGGGCAATCCCGGGCGGGCAAGAGGAGCCCATCTTACCCACTCGGGCAGCCAATCAGAACAAAGGATTCACTTCATACTGCCCACGGGCGCTGTCAGCTATGTAAGAGTAATGTTCAGTTAAATAATTTTAATTGCATTTTGTTGAAGCTCTAACAGATCCACTCGCCAGAGGGCCTCGGGAATTATATTGATTGACAAAATGGACGTGAAATTATTTTCTATTTTCACTCGTCACCGTTAAATTACTAGTACTAATTTCAAATGAAAATATCACAGACATGCCTCGCTCGAAGGCATGTATAAAGACAATTAAAAAAGCAAAAAGAGAATGTTATCTTTTCCGACAATTATTCTCAGTATGCCTTTTTCATTCGCTGAAAAACATTTTCCTTCACTTAAAATACCAAGCCTAAAATTTACCATCTTCATTTACGTCATTATTGTGCATAAGTAACACATGTCGACACTTATAGCAGTAGTATACAGAAAGTTTGTCATGAAAGACCTTGATCAAGACATAGATTGCCACGAGTCTCCTATAACTCAGCGGAACAGCATCCGAAGTACCACTCGGAAGGTCATAGGTTCAAGTCTTCTTGGTAGCACTTCTTTGTAGCACACTTTTTAATCCCGGTACAACTGTGTCATTGACTGGATAACATTTTCCTTCAATTTGATTATAACGCGTTGAAATTTACAGATGTTTGGAGAAAAGTTATTTGAAAAAAGCGATCAAGGGCATGCGACAACACCGAAAGTTGCTGTGGGTAGTTTTCAGGTCTCAAGACTTCCAAGAAATCTTAGAAAACGCCACTGTAAGGACGATGTATGGCGAGTTTTAATGAATGTAAGTATTAATTTTACTTGTAAAAATTCATCGATTACCAGATATCTTGATTACCTTTCGAGTTTGTCACATGCACTTTTGTCCTTTCTTTCGACAACCTTTCTAGAAATAACTGTTTACGTCATCATTGCGCGTATTTTCACATATACATGCTCATTAGAGCTACGACGGTGATAGAACTGATGACGATCAACTGCGGATTTGAAACAAATGCCTGCAACCGAACGTGTGCGTTACAGTGAGTCGGGTTTAAAAAAGGTTTATCCATGATAATGGATTTTCTAGATGACTTTTTCAACGCTAAATGCAAATCAGGAGTTTTTCTTTTATGCAGAAGGATGAAAACCAAACAAGTTGGGGGAAAGGAAAACACACTAAAAAGGAGGAAAAGTAAACAAGAGCTTGGAGAAGCATCCGCGCCACTGCTATCCAGTTTTTTTTTTCAGTACCCACGAACGTTTTATATCCAGTCGACTCGCATCAAAAATTCAGACGATTCGTACCTAGTTTGTGTCGGTTCGTACAAGTTCCAAGTTTTAGTAGCGATCGAAAGCGTACTTTATTAGTATAGGTACGAAACCACTAAACTGACTCGGCCCGAATGGTCCTACTTGGGTACGAAATAGCCTGCGAAGCAAGCCCTGGGGGAGAGGAGGGGGTATTGGGGCGAGCGGAATGTGCGGTGGAGAGAGGGAGGGCCTGCCACAGATCCCCACTAACCAACGAAATTTCCGATCTCGTATGGAAGAAAAATTCCCATCGGCTGAGAGCAACACGTTGTCAATAAACCCTCGAACTAAACAGTCTTCGTGGCGACTACCTTTTAGAAAATGGTGGACGACGGTGATTTCGAGAAGTTCTGCTCTCAAGAATCGATGTCGAAGTAGAATATTTGTGGCAGCCATCCACTTGTTCAAGCTGAGGGCCTTGATAAGAATGGCGTCTTCATTCTCAAACTTGCCCTTAACCACAACATTGCAAAGCCAATGGACGTTGGATCCAAATCATTAATGTTTTAATTTGTATCCATCGCTGAAGTTGAGAGTTGTCCTTTCGTCGGCGAGTCAAACAACGCTTCCCTGCTAGATGTAGGTTTTGCGTGTGCCGGGGAGCGGACACGCAAGCTCTTTCTACCTGGACTTTTTCCTGTCGGTGTTGAGAGCTTTCATTTCGACGAAACATCGCGGGAATCCGGACATTGAGAAGCGGCCTCATTCAACAGTTCATAAAACTGGCAAAAACTGTTAGCTTTTCTTGCACAAGGAAGGCATATAATTTGAGATATGTGCGACTTATTTTCGAAGTGAAAACCGACCGTTCGAAGGCGATCGGCGAAGATACACTTCCCTTTGACTCTGATTAAAAATACGTATGATGCACGATGGCGCTTTCTGATTGGTTAATTTTAAGAGGCGCTGATTGACACATGCAAGACGATATGAATATGAAAATAGGGGGCGTTTCGTTAGTTAGTGGGGGTCTGTGGCAAGCCCTCCCTTTCCCCTCCGCACATTCCGCTCCCCCCAATCCCCCTCCTTTCCCCCAGGGCTTGCTTCGCAGGCTAGGTACGAAACGAATGGTCCTACTCAGGTACAAAACGTAGGCACACCAAAGCAAAAGCAGGCATGTCCATCATTGAGCAATTTTTTTGGGGCCCTTTTCCCTGATAGCTGCTCATCTTCCATTTGTTTACCTTTTTCTCTCCTTTTGACCATTTGTTTCGTTTTCTGTTTAGGATTTTATGGTTGTTGATCATAATTTTCACAGCAAAAATAATTAACGGTATGAAACTATTTCCCTTGGTGCGCAGAGTTTTCTTTTGTGTTCCCTTTAAGATTATTATCATCATCTTTATTAACATCAAACTAGAGCGATCTATAAGCACGGACTTCTTTCAACTGATTACTCTCTTCATTTAATTCTAAATACAAGGACTTATTAAATAAAATCCGTCATTCCCGCCTTAAATTCGGGAATCATTTGTTTATGCAAATTCTGACACACAGGTTGACTCAAAAGTGTCAAAACAATGCTGCTGTTTGACAAATGTTTTCCCGGGAGATTACGAATTTCATTAGAACTCATTTGCATTTAAGCGTTGAATTTAGAAAACGGTTACCTTGGGAAAATCATACTTCTGTAAGTTCACATTCAGGAGCATTTGTCAACAGAGGTTTTATTTCCGTTGTTGCCCATAACTGAGAAGAATGTAAATTATGCTTGGTTCAAAATTCGACCAAAAGATATTCGCTGAAGCGTGAACAAAGCAAGAAGGAATATTCTGCCATGCATTTCAGCACAATAGGAATAAAACCTAAGCGATCTAAACAGCTTAAAATCTAAGTTATTTAGAAACTTGATGTGTTTTGTGCTTCTAATTCAAAGTACAACTTTTCCGGTACGCTTTTCCACTGACAGATGAAACTTTCGCAAGTATTGTCATAAGCTCGTAGACTACAATACATGTGAATATGTACTTGACACCCACTGATAAGCTACGTCCAAACAGGATGAACAGTTGTGCCACTACGAGGAAAATTGAATCGTTGAACCAGGCCAAAAAACCTTTGCACTTCTCTCAGTTTTTTTCACCATTACAAAATCCTTCAAAAGCTCAAAACTAATCAGTATTGCTACCTAGAACGAAGAAAAAAAAAAAACCGCTCTGAAATCCGTTGTGGCATTAGGTCGATGCGTGGTTTATTATAGCAATTTCTAATAGTTCTGTTACTAGCCGTTCAAAACGTTCTTGACAAATTCCTCGTAATTGATAAGTCCTTGGTTTTCCTCAAAACCCTGAAGTAGTGCATCTACGTCTTCATCGCTTAGCTTTTCCCCTAACCCGGTTAGAACATGACGAAGTTCGCCAGAACTGATCCAGCCATTATTATCCGTGTCGAACACTTTCAAACTGTCGACGAAAGCATCATAACCAACTTTGTGCGTTCGGGAGCGACACGATTGCATGATAGGTAAAAATTCTTCGAAGGAAATCCGCTTGTTACCGTTTGGATCAATTTCTCTCAACACCTTGTCGACTTCAGCTTGGGTAGGATTTAAGTGAACAGATCTCAAAGCCAATCCAATGGCCGTCGACTCGATTTTTCCATCTCCAACAGTATCGAACAGATTAAAAGCGTCGCGACACTCATCAATTTCTGTTTCTGTCAGAGTACTTGCCATTCTAATCCCCGGTAAATTTTCCTCGAACCGAAATTGTATTGAAAAATTGCTCACGGTAATGTTATACGAACGACAACAGGAAAAGATTATTATTCAATGCACTTGCTGACACAAGACGCGTGGCATGATGGTTTATCAGCGTCACGTGGCTTGCACTGCACCTGTCTTACGTGGTGGACGGGAACTGAGTGACGACGAGAATAATTATGAAGGTAGCCACCAGCGGTCGACACAATTAAGAAACAGGGCAAACAAACGAGTTCTTTGTTCCCATGATTTACATTTCCGTTGAGCATGGAAATTATCATGTAAATCTCGAGCTCTTAAGAACAATTTTGTGCTTGTTGTTCCTTAACGTTCGGTTAAGAACGAACTCCTTATCCATAAGAATACTTTTAGAATATTTGTAATTTAAAAATGCAGTCAATTAGTCCTAACTGTAACCGTGTGTTGTATTTGTCTATTAATGAAGCCGTTAGCTGGTTTTCCTTAAAAGGTTTTCAGTACCTCTATTTTGTTTTCCTGTGTACGTTGCTGACGCAAATCACTTTTATGGAGTGTTGAGGACGGTGGTGAAGGAGAACGTGATTTTGAACGAGTACGAACGGAGAAAAGGTAAAGAGGCAACCATTTTTTTAAGGCAAAGACTCGTTTGTCGGGGAGAGCATTGTAAGAGATAGGTCAAGAGAAAAAGGCACGTGCAAACTTCTCCACACAAGCAGTTGTGCACGGCTTATTACAAAAGATATTTCATATTGGCGTGATTGTAAGTTTATTCAAACGATCAGTTTGTCAAAGGTTTCGTTAGATGTTATTTGGAAGTGCCGTGGTGTGTTGGATATTTTAGGGGATGGTTTTGGATATTATTTGGGACAGGTTGGAACTGGATTGAAGAAGAAACTGACTGTCATGGAAAAAAAAGATAAAAGATACAAAACTCAATTCAGGCACAAGAGTACAAGAGTTGTTGTTAAAACGAGCATTAAGTAATTAGAGTATAAAATTGGTACAGTTTAACTAATTTTTCCCTTATTGTTTATTTATTTATCTTTTTCTTTACTTACTTGCTGCCTCCTGGAACTCCAAATGTACGGGGAGCTAATTTCACACGACTGGAAAGTTATATGTAGGAAATCCAGGAAAAGGCAAACTTAGTGTTTCCCGGGTCTTAAAGATGACTACAATGAGATTGAAATTGGAAACAATTTTTTAAGCATTTAAGACTGCACATATTTAAATCTGAAGGCCTGAATTGTACCTTCTCTCGGCGAAGAGGCGGGAAAAATTACTCCAATCCTATTGAATGTGTTTTAAGTCAATCTTTGAGTTGCATGACACAGGTGATTGCCATCAAATTAGTTGAAAATGAATGTTGGCCCGATTATCAAAGAATATCTTTCCCTCACGGCGAGATTGCTTAAGCCAGATAAAATGTGCAACCAACCTGAAACTTTATCCTGGTGAGAGTAAGTAAGTTTTCCTGACCGAGTTTAACAACTTTGTAAGCTTTTCTTTGCGGACATGGAGGTGACTTCACGGGATCTCAGATTTTAATTTCGGTCATTTTGGCCCGCAAAAGGCTCAAACGGAGTTTTCTCATTTACACGCCTTAGTAGGGTCTTTAACAGAAACCAAATACATTCAGAAACTTGTACTACCTAGTGGCTTGTTAAAACCGAGAGAAATCGATTGATCGACTGTTACAGTTTGCTTAATTGCAGATCTTGCTTCTAAGATTGCCGAACCCGCTGTCTGACAAATATGGTTTGATTTTGAGCTTTAAGTTACAGAATTTACTTTCAACAATACAAAGTTGTAACCATGGCATCCACCCTAATATGACAAACGTTATCAGTAAATTGCGTGAGTTTTAACATTTACAGATACATAAAAATGCTTCCTTTTCAAGAAATTTGCGCTCCTACGGAAACCGCGTTCTTTAGCTCTTTAACGTGACATGTTAATGAAAAAATTCTGACACCAAAGACTTAAATCCAGGCTTAACATCTGCCTTCTTTACCTTAAAAATTTGCAAGGCTTTCAACACAAGAAATGTTCGCAGCTTCCGTTAGGATTGCTGTGATTCGAAAGAAATGACAACGTAGAAAATATATTGAAAACTTTTAAAATTTTAATCACTTTAAAAAGTCTGTGTTATCAACCATGAGTAAGCCGCAATAGATTGATGTTTCGTTACTCGAGGCCAAGTTTTTGTTATTTGACTTGCAATTCTGTTATTTCGCATAAAAACGCTCTTAAACTAACAGGTACCACGTAAATAATTTATCGGAAACATTAGGCTCGATGTTGAAAGCAAATCATCAAAGCGGCTACACCATTATGCAGAAAAAAAGTTCAGTTTTTCCGTTTTTACGTAATTAACGAATCCATAAAAATATGTCGGAAAACAGCCCGGACGCTTTGGAAGTGCGAGCTAAGAAAGAAAGAGATGACACGCAATTGCGTTTGTCACTGTTCGTCTGCGCCGTTGTTGCAATAACATGGTTCCTTGGAGCGTATGGATTTTCCTTCGTATGGGCAGGGTTTATAATACCATTGATATTTACAGTGTGGTATCGCAAAAATTGCCGCCTAATAGACGATCGTGTCAGAGAAGCAGAAATTAAAGTACACCGAAGAAAGGCCTTACGGGACGAGGAGACAGCCGAGTGGCTCAACTTTGTTTTGAACCGATGGTAACTATAAAGCAATTGTTAACAGAGTATATTAGCTTATGATAGGTCTAGAATTACGTTCGCTGAGTTTTTCCAAGTTTACAGACTAACATTTGCAGAGAAAAATAACAGAGGAGGCATTTTGAAATTAGCTACCATAAAAATGTTTGCAACACAGCATTTTGCTGGCCACTTTGTTATTTGGGTGGGTCAAATAGATATACAGCTGTGGTTTTTTTTCGGTTCCCGGGAAACCTGTGACCAGCAACTTTTAAAAAGTACATTATTCATCTACTCTTTAAGCCACTCGTAAATCCTACAAAAGCAAATTTAATTTAATGCTTACAAAGGTAAAAATCGTTTGTTTTGCTAACATTGTTTTTGTTTAGAACAAAGAATTGGCCATTTGTTACTAAACCACCCAAACCCCAGAGTCAGTTTTTATTTTTGTTCCATTCCGCGCTCATAAAATCAAAATCTTTGTACTTTTTGGTAAATGGCTAGATATAGTTATAACGTTTTTACGTTTCAACACTGAAGTTTTCAAATAAGCAACGCGTAACATTCGAGAGGTAATAAGTCTACATTATTAATAAATTAGATGACTTTTTGCCAAGATACTTCTTCTTCTTCTTGTAAACAGGTTTCTGCACACGTCAGCATTTTATTTAGTTCTTATTAACCGAGCGGGAGGTCTGTATGGGAGAATCTTGACCGAGGTCGCCAGTACAGACCGAACGCAGAGAGGTCTGTACCAGCGACCGACGCCAAGGTTCTCCCATACAGACCGACCTAGCTCTGTTAATAAGATGCTTATTATATGGCTGTGTCTTATATGGCAATTTTTTATATTCTTTGTACCTTTTTTTTCTAGACCGCTCTAGATGTCGGTCTAGATGGGAAAGTCTAGACTGCTTTCAATATTGATTTCAGCCAATCAAATTCGTGAGTTCGGTAGTTCCCAGTCCTTGTGAGACAGCCATATAATAACAGTCGATAATGAAAGGGATGAAGTTGCAATTCTCAAGTGTAAAATTCAGATTGATAGTTTTCTTTTCTATAAAATCTATATATAATTTTAAACTTGGGATTCGAATCACTAAAAAAAATTAGAGTTTGATCCAAGGGAGGGATGCAACCTTCTGTTAGGTACGCTAGGCACCGTTATTTTTGAGAGATTGAATGAAGTTAGGAAAAAAATTAAACACAAGGATTGGAATCATTTACAGACGTTTTAAGCAAGTGAGAATAAGTTAGAATAGAGCGTAGCATCTTTAAAGAGAATAATGTTTCATATGCTTTCACATACATACTTTATGTATATGAAGTTCTGTTCTACATCAAATGTTTCGTGTTTTTCAAGGTGGAATTTCAGTGAGGTCTCCCTTTGCAACCTTGTGCGCTCCAGTTTGAATCCTGTTTTGGAGTATAGCAAACCATCGTTTATAGGTAAGAACACAAGCACAGTTAGGTATCGATCAACAGGTCTTTGAATCAATTTTATTTCGATGCTAGCCACCAAACCCAATTTTTGTCTTCAAATCAAAGTCTTGTGGTTGGAAACGCGGATGTGCGATTGAGTGCTTACCCCTGAAAACTGCGCATGCCTCTCAGAATGTTTCATCCTTGTTTAACTTTGAAGTTCCTTCATATTTTCAGAAACTATGGAACTAACAGAGTTCAGTTTTGGAAAGAAGACGCCGTTTCTGAAATACGTGAAAGTGTTTGAAAATATTGACGAGAACGACTCTCCGGATATCCCTGCCTCAGAATCAACAGCATTCAACCCACCGAAGGACCTGGCAACAAGGCAGAGACATCTGTTGGTGCTTGTTATGGACCTCTGCTTGCACGCACCTGATACAAAAATCGCTATCAAAGTGAGATTAGGCGGCAAAATGTGAGTACAATCGATTAGAAAGGAATGAATGATAGTTAAAGTGTTCTTAAGCTGAGTGCATGGCTTTTTATTCTTATCCACTGGTCCGTAGTCAAATTAGAACTTGGATTTCTTTTTGCTACGAATGTAAATCTCATGTCAAAATCTGTGAGCTAAGTGGTATTGAGACGCAAGAGACATTACATCTAATGGTATCGACAAGAGAAGGAACGGACCAGGTCCGTATCTTGAAAATCCTCACTCCCAAAGTTGTTCCTTAACACCAGCAATTGATATGGGAGAACCGCCCAAATTATTCTGGTTGCACTTGAAATGATAGAATTTCATTCATCTGGGAAGAGCTTTTCGCAACTTAATATCGACACGATAGCTCTACAGGTAATTAACAAATGGGTCAGTAAACAGAACTTAAAAACGTTACTGACCAAATTTAGACCCCAGCAAATGAAAGTGGTAAATGATTTTTCCGTATACATGTTTTTTTCCAAGGGTTGGTGCAGATGTTGATGTCAGTATCGAGGACGTGTCGTTATCTGGTCGTGTTCAGATTGTGTTTGAGATGGATCACCTTGTACCATTTCCACATATGAAAGCTGTCTCCATAACTTTTCTTGAAAAGTAAGAACAAATTTCACGTCTCCACGAATTAACAAATGGTTCCATAACCTTCTTTATGTTAATTAAAAACAGGGAATTTGTTGAACTTATAGGATTTGTCTATGCACCGCCGTGTTAGTCTTAGAAAGAAATCACTTTAAAAGAAAATAGCAACGTTTATTTGGAGAGGTTTAAGCCAACCGAGTAAAACAGGTGATTTTATCTCCGTTATTACAAAGTACTAAGAAGAATTTACATCTCACGGTGGTGTGTGTATCGAAAGAGAAACCTAACATTCAGAAAATATTATAGTCGCCTAAAATTTGACCGTGGACGCCACCAGTTTGAAAAAATAACTCAGTAACCTGGCCGCGCACGGATTACTCCAAGACGCGTTCACCAATAGCTCGTGCTTCGATTATCGCCGATAACTGAAATGATCAAATGTAGCCGGTCAAGAGTCAAGATGGTGGCCTCCATGGTAAAACGTCGAATTTCCAACACACTTAATTTGAGGAAAACTTTCAAAAGGTTACGCTCAAAATAAAGTCACTGTCCGCCATTATCTCAGGAATGCTCTTCAAAAGCCAAATGGAAAATTATATACTCTCTGGAACTTGCGGCTTCTCCTTCAACGAAAAAATGACGACATAGGTGGAATTCAAATGTATGAGCTAGTGATATGAAGTTATTTGTGTTTAAACTGAAATGCTCAATTGTACTAAAGTGTGTCGTCTTTTCTTTTGTTAGACCAGATGTCGACTTTGATGTTCGATTGATGCGCGCAGTACAAGTGATGGATATGCCTATGCTGAAAGATTTCATCAACGCTCTCGTTATGGACAGTTTGACTTACGGTAATAATCAATTTTCACAGTCTCAGTCCTGGAAAATTCACCACTGAGCTTTAAAATGGTCTAGAGTGTTTCGAAACACTTCAGCTGACAAATAACAACAGTTGGGGAATATTTAGATACACACGTGCCTTTTTCTAATTACTTGGGCGTGTCGTATTTTTTCTACTGATCTACAGCATTGGTTGACCCTGGAAGAATCGAAGTTCCCCTTCATGGTGTTGATCCCGATGAACTCCTCAGCGCAGCTAAGAAGTCAACTTACGGTGAGCACGCGCGTCAGTAGATAAAAAGACTGCCAACAAAATGTTTGATTTTACGAAAGCAACGCGGCGACGGTCCATCATGGTGCGATTTGAAAAACTTCAAATAATGATTTGTATCTAATTCAAATTTTGCAAACATCATGAAATAGGCACATCACGAAAACGAAGCATTGAAGTAACGCTATATCTGAAGAAAACGGTTCTTGAACAAAAGCTCATCTTTCAAACCGGCAGTCTAAATCCCACAGGGATCAATGAACGCTTTTCATTCCAGTAATTTATTCGTGTTTTTCTCGTTGCCACGTACCCACCAATAACGTAGCTCCATTTTCTACCTTTAAAAGCACACACAACCCACAATTCCTCTACTCGCTCCTACGAAGGGCTAACGCTCGAAACGTCAGCTTTTTTAATCGTTACGGTGGCCAATTTACCATTTCAACTTTGTTGATATATCCAAATTATTTCGTTACCCCCACCGACGCAGCCCCAAACAGTATCTTTAGAAACTATCAGCCTTGGTTCAGTTGTTAGTTGGCTACCTATTACCTGACTCTGGTGTGAGACCATATTTTTTGTTAAAATCGTGTTTTAAAACTTCAATTAATTTAGATATATGAGTTGTGTTTTTGCGTTAATCTTCCAGCCGATGGACTATTAACAGTCACACTGAAAGGTGGAATGCTCCAAAAGTATACAGGTGAATAATATCAGAGAAATCGTCATGTAAACTACAAACGAAGCCATCGATGGTCTAACAACTCTTCTTTACTCAAATGTGACTAGTCCATCTCATCACCAGGATAAGACAATCAGCTGTTCGCTATTTACATTGAAATTCACTACATTGCGAAACTAATAATTAGACTTCACTACCGTTTTTTTCGAAAGGTCGTAGGGTTGACTCCTATTGAGAGCTTCGCTTCAGAGTTCTTTTACTTCCAGTTAGATCAAGAGGCTTCAAATTTACCATCCTGATTTACATTATTATTAGGCAGAAGCATCACATGTCGACATTCCTATCCTCGCAGTATGCAAGCAGTTTGTTACCATGCAGCTGGCTAAACAGCCAAACCTACCACGAGTCTCTTATAGCTCAATGGTAGAGCGCCCGTAATAGTAATAAGAAAGTCATAAGTTCGACTCCTATTGGGACCACTTGTGTCAACAATTACATTCATTCATTTTTTTCTGGTGTTATTTCAAATTTTACTCTTAGGTTTCCCAACACTTTCTCTTTTCTGCTCTAAAGATTTCTAAAGATATACATGGTCGACAGTAAGATCAGCTTGATTACTTTTCCAGATGACCAGATCTGGACGTCACTTCAAGTCGGTAACCTTGATGAACAAAACACTGAAAAGATTCAGGGTGGAACAACATTTGAAGAGTCAATATCCATTCTTATTTATGACCTTGCGAATGACAAGGTATTTGCTAAACCGTAGATGGTTTAGTTAGATTGGTTGATACTGCATTTTTAAAAATGGTTCTGTCGTGTCCAAAAACTGGCCCTTAGAGGGAAAGAGGTAATACTTTACCTAACGATTACTGTATTGCCACATGCAGCTTACATAAAGCACATCAACTTAAAAGTGGGGAGCTGTGTGTTTGTTTTTCTTTTAAAGATCTTCTTGACTTTAGTTCAATTAAGAGTCTGACCTACTCAGGCTTGCAGTGCCTTAGGGTGGCCAAGTGCTCTTTCGCGTATCTTAAGGAAATACCGAGAGAAAACCGATAGGCTATTCCATATAAATCCATATACATGTATGCTTTTGTTTTTCATTCTTCAACTGTTGTTTATAGTTTTTTTTTGTTTTTTTTTTTTTGACAACAGCTTAATATTGAAGTACGCGGCAAGAGGACTTTTGGAACTAAATATTCGATTGCAAAATACAAGATGTACTTGGGCAGTCTTGGCCTGGAAAAGAAGAAGAAAGTGTAAGTGGAGATGAGCATAAACTAAAACACATTACCGTATCTCCTCCAAGAAGCGCCCGGGTTCATATTTAAAATTTCGACTACAAAGGTGGGCGCTTAATCGAGTGGGGCACTTATTAAGTTTTCCTATTTCTGCGAACTGTAACTTTATTTAGGCTAAATCTTAAAAAAAAAACCAAACCTACAACATTATCCACGTAGACATCAAGTTAATTATAGCATCTTTCGTTTACAAAAAAGGGAAATTAAAAAGATAAAAAAATAGAAAAAATAAAAGAAACAGGAAAGAAGGCAAGAAGTAAGAAGACAATGCAATTGGAAATTTTAAAATGAAGCACGTGCATGGTACTGGTAAATAAAGGCTGATAGTTTCTAAAGAAACTGTTTGGGGCTGCGTGGGAGGGGGTAACGAAATAATTTGGATATATCAACAAAGTTCAAATGGTAAATTGGCCACCGTAGCGATTACAAAAGTTGACGTTTCGAGCGTTAGCCCTTCGTCGGAGCTGATAGTACTGATAGTTTCATGTTTGTTGGTCACATTCCGATTCAAACATTTTCCATGCAATAACTTTATAATCTTAGAAATTACAGGTCCATGAAGGATACAGAATGGTCTAATTGTGCGAAATTAACGGTATTTACCAAGAGCGTTGCTCGTAGCAATAAAACAAAAATTAAAGGAAACGGAACTCAGTAAGATAGAAATAATTTATTTTATCATGTGTTGATTAGCGTTTTTAATTTTAAGACAAGAAAGCCTGTCCTTTCTTAAACATACCCACACGAATCTGATCCCTTCGAGTAAAATCGATTTCCTGTGTATTAAAAAAAAAATTGAACAGTCTTTACTCTTTACAGTCTCTCCTCTGGGAAAGTCAACAATTTCCACTGGGAAATTGTGAATGAGTGATCGGCTGACGTGAGAATCCAAAACGGTAAAAAAAAAAAAAACATGGCAACGTATAATCAGATCGTTAGATGATGTATCTTATCGATATTTCTAAGAATCCCGTTTCTCTTTCTCGTCATTTTCCCATCACAGCGAAACAACTCTGAGTAAGGAAGGAATTAAAGGGTCCAAGCTCGAAGTCTCTCTGGAGTACACGCAACTGAAACCTTATGAAGTCAGCAGTCGGACAGATGAGCAGGAATTCCTTGAGAAATACCAGAAACCTACTGAAGAAAGTCCTGGTACAAAGTTTCATAATGTCTTTTCTTTCCAACAAGTGATTGAAAGAGTGCTATTTTAGTTATTCATTCTAGAGAAACTAACCTGTTGAGTCTAAAAAATTCTTGTCAGAGATAACCTTTGGAATGAGCTTTTTCCTAGGGATCTCAGTCGCTTGGGTTAATCTTTTTAAGATGATAAAAAAATAGAAAAAAATCGTTCCACCGTGGCCTGCCTGTGGGCTGTGGCACGAACACTTTCCTTAAAGTTTCTTTTAAGGGCTATTGGGCGATGGGATTGCCCAAGACATGAGCAGACTCTTTTTATGTGGAGTCGTGCAACAGCGTTTAAAGGACATGTTAGGTTTTCTTCTTTGTAAATTGTCTTTTTTTCTTGAGAAAATAAAGGGAAGTGACATGACTCAGAGCACACCCTCTTATCAGATGCCAATGCCTTTCAGCCCTCATATCACTATAATCTGCTAAGTTAGTCAAGGTTACCGCCCGACAGCGGCTCTAATCAGCACTACATTCAAGATTTCGCGTCACGGTAAACGACCGATTGAACACGATCTGAATATGGCCAATTTCACGGGGAAGGAAAAATGGAGGATGAGCTTTTTCCGTTAAAAGCTCCTTCGTCTAACATCTTCCAGTAGTAGTAGTAGTAGTAGAAGTAGAAACTTTATTAAAGTGTCAAAAACCGTCTAGCCAGGGAACAAAATCCCTTACTAATTTGGGGACACCAGTAACAAATAAACCAATAAAACTTCCGCTGGCTTTGCTGCCTTGGATTGGTTATTTTATTGGCAGTTTACTTTGCTTGTTTGATTTCATGTTCCAGTGTCCGGTCTTCTTCTCGTAGTCGTTCATGGCGGTGAGAAGCTACTGGCGATGGATGATGATGGGTTTAGTGACCCTTATTGCATTATGGCAGCCAATAGAGAGAAGGTACGTTATATAATGAGTGCAGAGTGGAATTGTGATATATTTTTGAAAAACTTAGTTATGTTGACAATAACATATTTTTTTAGGTGAGAACCACTCCTCACGTCTCGGGATCTGTCAATCCTGTGTGGGAATCTGTGGTAGAATTCCCCGTCAAAGACTTTACGAAGGTGAGAAAACAGTCCTTTGATTCTCAAATGTTGACTAACTGAGGTCACAAAAGATATTTTTAATCTACTTGAATGGGATGCAATGGCGTCGCCAGTTACCCCCTCCTGGCCCTATTACCACCCTTTATTATTTGCTTAGGTGTTCAGCTGTTCGTTGACAGCATCTTTTAAACAGTGTGCTTTTACCCGCTATGCTCTTAGGTGGAGAAAAACAGTGTGAGTTTGAGTATCTTGCCAAAACACAAAGACCCGGGTCAGGGCTCGTTTCCAATGATCGGTACCAACGATGGTCCACCACCTATCGATCCCTGAACGCGTCCCTGAAGTAACGAAATAGAATCAAGGGAATCAAGTGAAACAAGCTTCTGGGCCCAGTTGTATAAAGAGAAGATAACGCTATCCAACGGATAATTCGCTATCCAACGGATAATTCGCTATCCAACGGATAATTCGCTATCCAACGGATAAGTGACAGCAGAAAGTACTGCGCTATCCACTGGATAGAGATTTATGCAGTGGATAGCGTGATCAAACCTTCGAACAACTGGGGCCAGGTGTAAATATGAGCCGTACTATATTTTTCCCAGACCAATGTTTCTTTCCTGGTGTATGATCGTGATGTGAACTGGCAGGGTCAATCTGATGACTTCATGGGATCCTGTAACCTTCAAATGACTTTGGTATGTTGTGTGTCACCTGCGCTTGGTTAAAGGGGTCTTTCCAAAAAAGTAAATGAATACAGCAACAAATAAAATCTTTGCTCTAACAAGAAAGCAGCTGATAAAGAGGAGAGTTTTAGGCGCCAAATAAATTTCATATTTTGATCAGTAAGTGAAGAGAGTGGCAAGGATGAAAAACAGGAGGATAAAAGCTAAAACATGCCACATTTTTGTCAAACAGTGAAGAGTTTTGCCGTTAGCTTTTGTAGTAAGAATATGCTCAGTAAAGTTTCTCAACCCTTCACAGCCCAAACATCAGTGTGCATATTCTCCACACCGTTATATATACATTTCTTAAGGTGCTGACCAGGAGAATTTGTTCGAAAATCAGAGGTTCTTTAGTTCGTAATAATTTTCTATATTTTCGCGATCTTCATGTTTGATCCTGGGGTAATATTGTCAGGAGAAATTAGATATCAGACACTCTTTGGAATCAAAGGTCAGTTCTGCATAAACCTCAGCACGGGCAATCATTCTCTCCGACGCAATATTCCAACGGATTGATAGAATAAGAAGATAAAAATACACAGCTGAGATACATGCCCCTCTCTTCTGCATCAGGTTATTCCTTCCTTCATCATAACGCCTTCTCTAATTAATTCAGCGGGCTACCTATAAATTGACTCTAGAAATGTTCCTTTAACGTCATAGGACGAGCCCGCAATCATTAAACGTAAGTTAGAGTTGAAGTATAAAGTGTTCGGAAAGAAGAGATCAGATGACTCCATCATGAAGGCAGGATCACTTACAGTGTCAGCTGTGTTTCAACCCGTCGAGTCGGTCGCCAAATCAGGTACACGAATCGCATCGTTTGATTGCTGTTATGACATATAAATTAGCTACGAATTCATTACTTTAAGTGCGCGCTTGTCTTTGAACTGATTACATAATTTGTATTTAACCGTTATGAAGTTAGTTCGTAATAAACTTTTAATCGGTTATCCCTGGTGACTTCTGTCGTTTGTCGTTACCTTATCTTCCACCTAACATTACAAGAGCGTGGACAGACTGAGGTGTATCCAAGATGTTCAGGAGGGGGCTTTACAATAACACTCTCTTTTCATTTTTGTGATAAACAGCAACAACAACAACAACAAAACAACTAAGTGGCATAGACAAATCCTGACCACAGAAGTTCGATCTTCAAAACTATTTTATCTAATTTCATTTTCTTTCGTGATCTCTAGAAAAAGAACCTACGGCTGATGACTTAGTGGAAGGTGAAGATATAGATGATATAAATGTAAGTTCGTAAGCTTTTTATTTAAAGAGATAACTATAGCACAAAGATATGCAACGCAACTCTGACTGACTTTCAACTCGGACAATAGTCTGAGTGAAGATAGCCGTAATAGTTGTAAACGGATATTTATCTTTTTAAGATAGATAGTTAGAAAGTACTTGAAAAACTAAGCGACTGCGTTCCAGAAGTAAAGTTTACTTAATTTTAAATGTAGCTATGAATGTTATCGATACTTCTTTGTTCAATTTCAGGAGCACGCCAAAAAACACACTATGAAGAGCAGTATGAAGATCAAAAGACAAGTTGAAGAAATGATGTTGATCAAAGGTAGCTTGAAGAGGTTACTGAATTTAAACGAGAAGTATTTCCCAGAGAAGGAAACCCTCTCAGTGAGTCGTCATCATAAGCACACCTCAGTAACCACTGCGCACACGTTTGATATTCCAAAACCCGACCTGTAATTATGGGGAGTGAAACCAACAAAAGCAAAGGAATCGCTACAAAACAAGGTGAAACGAAGCGAAGGGGTAAAAGACGATTGTCACTGAAACAAGCTGCTAATGAAATAGCTAACCAAGCCAAGATATACAAAATGCAAAATGAAACCTAACATAACAAAATAAGAACACAATATAAGGCTAATTAACAAAAAGCTACCAGATCGTTGAAACAAAACTAACCAAACAAAACGAAAAAAGGACAAAAAATACATTTACATAATCCTTGTAGTTTTGAAAAAAAATTCCCTCCTTTCTCGTTCCCAGAGCTTGGTGTTTTAGTGATCACACTTCTCCAAGGTAAAGAAATGGTTGCTATGGACAGCAATGGCCTCAGTGATCCATTCTGTGTGGTGCGAGTCAATAACGCGAAGAAGTTCAAAACCAACGTGGCGTACGAAACTCTGTCCCCGGTGTGGAACGAGTCCGTGTCCATAGCCATGCCACAAGAGGGAGATAAGATTTCTTTCGTAAGTTTATTTCTTTACATTGACGCATGGTTGCAAAGAGGGTCAATGTTGTTCAAGGAAGATGGACTGTTTAGACAGGGTTGCGTTGAAGGTGCTTGGAAAGTTGCAACTGAAAGGAAAGAAGGCAGGCGAAAGTAGGATTGGCTGCAACATCCAATGGAGGAAGGGGATGGGGAGTTTTGCTCTACACTGTAAAGATATGTAGAGAGCAGGAGCTTTCTTCTCGAATTTTTTCCGCCCTTTTTTCTTTTCAGGATGTCTTTGACAAAGATGTGTTTCAGAATGACTTCATGGGATCAGTTCCATTGACCGTTGATGACATAAAAGAAGCTGCTAAGGTTCAGTTCTTTCTTCAATTCATTCTATTCCCTAAATTGAAAAAAAAATTAGGAATTCATGTAATTTTAATCGAAATGAGAAAAGGCGACTCCCTTAGTTCATTGTCTGATTGGTCTCAAAATGCTCGCCACACATTGTGCATGCTCTTCACCCAGTCAGCTGTTCTCGTTTCTAGCATTTCTCTACACATACTGTTTGTTATTTTAACTCTTATCATTTATAGAAAGGAGCCCCTCAGTGGTTTAAGCTTCAAGAGGCTGACTCAGGAGAAATTCAACTTCAATTCAAAGTTTCTAGGCCTGGCGAACAGGTGATGTTTACTCGGATTTCCTTGAAAACATTTTCTTTTTCTTTTTTCCCTCCTTTATTTCTTTTTCCCACGCTCGTGACAAGGCGGAAACATCGATCTCTGAAAAAATATTGTTGTTCTTGATCTGTGGATTTGCAGCTTCTTTTTTTTTGTTACTCGCAACGACTATGTTCGATCTAATTAGGAAGAGGCTGAGAAAGCGGGGGATATGACGTCACAACCGGGAGAAAGTGGAAATGACTCGGGTATCAGTGATACTGGGGAACATCAGGAGGCGCCGAAAGACGTCTTTGATCTTACACTGAGCAAGATGGACGGTAATGGGTTGATTCCGATTTTTTTTTGTCAGTAACACAGTTTTTTTCAATGGAGAAAAATATTTTTGTTTCTTTTAACATCAGGCATTTTCGACGTTGCTGTTCCAAGCAGAATCCTGGACTTTAGACAGGCATGAATCTCGTGTCTCACCGGATTCACAAATATCTTAGTAGGGTATCCTACTCTGACAATAGACCTTGTTCGGGTTTGAAGCCAGTTGGGGAATTGTGATCTTTTTCCCCTCTGTCCCGCACTATTAACAAATATTGAAAAACTTTAATCATTCCACGACAAAGCATGAAATTCACCATCTTTCTCGGTCCATTTTCAGATGCTGTTTTAAAATCAAAACAGCAAAAAAGTCGCACTGTTTTGGTTTTGGTTTTTTCACTTTATATTCCATCTTTTGCAGAGTACGTAGAGAGTCGGATCCCACCTTTGTTTTACGGCGTATCAGGAGAAATCATTCAGGCTTCGGATATAACAGGTAATGACCGTAATTGGCCTTGAGCGACAGAGAGCAAAGGTGACCAAACTGGAATGCATATGGGCTTCTGTAGTGATTCTTGGGTCGTTTGAAAAATTATCACGAGATTTATGGACCATTCAGAGAGCGCAGTGATGCAAAAATATCAAAGAAGGATTATTTTGACACTATATTGACACTCTCCTTAAATGCTATTTTAGCACTTTTCAAACAATAAAAAAGACTTCACAAAAAGTGCATGTTATTAATTCCTGTCCATGAAAGTTTTGACGGTAATCGTATTGTCAAGGAAAGCAGTACAGTTTTTAACTGTTTTATGTATTTTGCTAGGTTGGGGTACGTTCCAAATTAGAGCAAGAGTTGAGATGTGAGTATGTAAGCATATGATACTAGTGATTTGTCGCGTAATGGCGAAGTCTAAACTTGCAAGTGGGTTAAACTTAGTTGGGTGAATGATTTACAAATGGAAACATTGCCTGTTGATGCCCGATGGAGAATTAAAGAATATGAATTCTGGAAATCCAACACCACCATCATAGGGAACCGTCTTGCATTCATTTAGGAGAGTTTGTCTCTCAAGCTCGAAAAGAGAAACTTCTACCATTCTTCGGGTTTAGTGCAGCCGGGAAGGAAGGTAAGCTGTGGTAAGCCATTAGAGCTCTATATCAAAACTGCGGGTTAGGACCAATTCTAGCTCCGTCAGAAAGTTCTTTCTCCCCTCGAATACTGAACCCAGTTTTCAGTTTAGCGTCAACTTTGCCTATGACTTGTCTAAAATTTTTTTTTTTCTCAGTCCTCGTCATGGCCGTAAAAGCAGTGTCAAGTATGAGTACATTACGATGTGCACCACTCCCCAACTTGCTCCTGAGAGTGGGATGGCAAAATGGAATTATATCTTCCAAGTAAGACTATCTCAACATTGTCTCTTAATCTGACAATCCATCAACATATCCAAACACAGCAGTCACAGTTTCCCAAATGGACCAATTTTGGCCAGGCGGGAGGAAATTTCTCGCGAAAAATTTCAACGGAAGACATAAGAAAGAAACGGTGTCTCGCAAAATTGAGAAAGGAAAAACTTAAAGAATAGAAAGGATCGATCGATAGAGTGTACACTTTCACACTCAGTGATTTCAGTCAATGACTGTAATTACGGTCGTTTTAAAAGTGCTTTTGTGACGAAAAGAAATTTTCGCTTTGTCTCGGTTAGTGAGAATATACCTCGCCAACTAATGTACATCACTTTCAAGTCTCGTTTAAACTGCCCAACAGTTCCAGTCGAGGTTTCCTAATAGCGCACGGACGGAAAAGGAAGTTACGCCGGATATAATCGATGCTATATTCAGTTAGTGTGCCTACCGAACTATTCTAAAACAGAATAAAACACAAGATATTCTACGTGGTTTCAATCCCTTTTATTTTTTGTTATTTAATTTTCTCGAGATTGGTGAGCCCGCGTAGTCTCATTTTCAGACATATTTTGTTTCGGATAGGAAAATCAAGTTGCATGGCGACATTCTAACCTCTTGAAGTGGGGTCAAATCCTACTGAAGGCTTATTAGAAGGAACGTAACAATTTATATATTGTTGCAGAAAAAATTTTTTCGTAAATATTTCAACTGTTAGGTCTGTATTTGCTTCAAGTGGTGATGGTTAGCGCCCTCATGTGGCACTTTCCCTTTTTCTCGTAGACTGCGGGAGGAACAGCAATTTCAAACGAAGCAGGATTCGTTTTTGAACTGAGAGACGCCAAGAAAAAACTAGAGGGAAAGGTTAGGATCTCGATACAGGACTTCTTCAAAGGTAACCACATGTTCGATTCAATCTCTAATTTTTGTTAGCCTTTGCTTTACTTTGTGTCTCGTTTCTTAGCTCCTATCTTATTCCCATTTGTTCGTTTTCTTGATTTTTCGGTTTATGAAATATACCTGTGTCATTCGGTCATTCGATATACCGACGTTTAAAGGTCTCCCAGTGTGAGTACTTCCAATTATAGGGAGCTGAAGGCCACATCCATCGTGGATATAAGGGATACTGAAGCAAGTGTTTTTAGAGTAATTAGCTATACACGAGAGAAAATAATTGGACCATTATTTTCTCTTGCTATCGAGTATGTTACCCTCCTCTGGCGACTGGAAAACTTTCAAAAAATTAAGAACTATATGGCAATTTTTCAGATGGTTCAGATGCCTCACTAGAAGAAACTTATCTATAATTGTCTCCCAACTAAGACTTTTCAGACAACAATTTCCTTTGCCTAGCGACTAGTCTGTTTGTTAGAACTTCGGAAATAAGCCTTAATAAAGCACGGCCACATTCTGATTTTTCTCTTTCACCAGATGTGTTTACCAGGAGGGAAAGGTCGAACACTAGCAGTGGATCTGAAGGTGATAACATATACGCCATTCATATAAATCGGTACCACCGCCAGTAGTTTTTCCCTTCCACCTCTCGACCTCTTATGCACCTTTTTTCCATGCCCGTTTCAGTCAGAGGTCCATTTAAGAGATAGGTTTGTTGGATTAACCGTCACTTTTTGGTATCAATTACGTTTTCATTTTCAGTCCCAATTGACAATTGTTATCATTTATAGAGTAGCCTGCAATTAATGGAAAGACAGTGTCGTTTCCAAACAACATTTCAATCTAATTTCGTTTAATTTAGAGGCAGCTGATTGATCAGTGTACATTCCGAAAAATCAATTAAAAACAAGCGTTCCAGCGACCGCAAATGAGTGATAGAATTTAGAAAATCTACGTTTTCCATGAGGCTGTCACTGCTTCTGCCAATGGAGCACTGGTGTCTTGAGCGCCTTTTCTACCTTAGGCTTCAGCGAAAAATAGGCTGGAGGCTGTCATCTTCATATTTAGTTCCCTGGGATGTTTGTTCGTCCCAGACAACTAAGAACGCGGAACAGATCAACTCTCATGATGTTACCTCGCAGCTTGAGTTCTATTCTTGCATGCTTCACCTCAAAAAGAGAAGTGTTAAAAAAAATTTTGAAGAAAACCTCTTGGTGTCTCGATGTGGGCCGCAAGTCTGATACCATACGTGACTTATTCCTCTCCGCAAGATCTTCAACGACCTTTTAATTCCTCCAAAATGGCCGTTGAAAACTCAAGTTCGACTCATCTTTCAACGCCATTTGTAATTTTTTGTAGTTTTGGCCCATGCTGAGAATAAGAAAATGAACTGTTTTGTAGTCGGATCTTCGAAAAAATAATCATGAAATACATTATTTTTCATCGGTCAGATATCTGTGCAAAGTCCTGACTTATACATTACAATTACTTTTCAGGCAAATATTCTGAAACCAAGTGGCTCAATCTTGAAAACGGTATGTTCAATTTTAAAGTTCAGGACCTAATTAGCCGATCGTTGATAAAATAGAACCATGTTTTCATTACCTACTTAAAAATGTAACTTGTGGTGGGTCACAACTGAAAGTATATAGTTAAAACTGCAGACGTGCATTATCCAAAGGAGGGGAGAGGGGAGGAGGCGAAAGTGCATACAGACTTACCGATTTGAAAATGTTCCCAGGATGCTTTGCATTAATTATTAATCAGCGAACGTTTCGGGCCGAACATTGCCGTAGGAGACGAAAAGTGACGACATTTCAACGGCGCGTCCTAAAGCGGCTTTCAACAAATGTCATAATATTATTCAATACTATTCAATACTATTCTTCACCCGCCCACCACGTCTCACCTCTCCAGCTCCAAGGTTATTATACACCTGTCGGCAATAGCAAATATCGTTCACAAGTACCCGACGACATGTCTCCACCCCAAAGCCTATGTGGTGGATTTACTTACTTACGTCTTCGCGCGAGTGTATATGTTTCTGCCACGCACGTTGCGTGGGGTATGAGGGCGGTCGGGAAGGGCGCATGCCAGATAAAGACATCACTGAAAGAAAAGGAAATAAAGATAAGCGTATTACTAATAAGCAGATAACTGGAGTAATTGGCTTAACATGTGTGACCAGGTTGTCTTTTAAGCACTTAAAAGGATACGATTCAACACTGTGCGAAGTATCAATGGCATACCAAAGAGGGCCATAGAACCTTCTGTCTTCTAACTGTTGCGAAAAATATCTCATTTATCTACTCTTTCTGAAGGCAAAATATCAATCATACTAATTACAAGAGTAAAGATAGTTATCTGTTTTGATCTTCAACAAGACTCTCAGGATTAATGATGTACAGACAATCATCCACAGATTTTTTATTTTTAACCTGATGTGCAAATACTGTCTAAGGTTTCCGTGCAGCCTACAGTAATTCTATATCTAAGTGTTTCACCACAATACTAGGGGATTCATTAGAGTTAAGCTGTCTCGAAAATGATAAATTTACAGACTTGGCATCTCCTAACTGCTTGAATATCAATTGAACTCGATCTCTTTTCCATTGGGTGCTTTCACTTCCTTCTTCGAAAAATAAAGGAAAGAATAAGGGAGAGCGATTCTGAATTCCAATATCGACGGATGCTTTATTGTCCAAGGAGTGTGGAAAAATCATTATCTGTATTGACAATCGCCGTAGTATGCCAAGAATCTAGATTTAATCACTCTGTTGATGGATGGACATTTTGAGATTAATTTTACAACCTTTCTTTATGTGTAGAAATTTTTTAGAAACGTGGAATTGCGAGTCACCCAATGGTTCATTAAGTGTTTTTTTTTAGTTTGAGAACAGTGTTTTAAAATTCTTCTTTATAAATTAGCAATTTTCGAAAAATTTGAACCGAAAACTCTTTGCCGTAGTAATGTCCACAGACGTGTTTGCTGTTTATGTATAGTGCACACATCCCATGGTACGCTGAAAGTGTTGTTAACTTGAACTTCTATTTTTCATAGATGGAGTGCCCGCTGGTCGTCTGCAAGTGATGATGTCATACTCAGACACTCCAGATGCCCCTGTAGCCCCAACTACGCTCAAGAAACGCTCCATCTTGAAAAGATTTTCTTCAAATTCAAATCTTTAGCTCAGACTGCAAAATACATGTGGAGTAAAGACTGCTATGATGATATGCGGTGCGCGCGTGGAATGTTGGGAATTGTGCAAGACGCTTAAGTTTGAGTCTAAAAATTTTGGTTTTACAGCAATCGAAAAGTGCTCTACGATACAAATAATATACTAAGTACACGGGGTGGGTCATTTGTTTTTTATCTGGGAAACGCTTTTTTTCCAAGTGTTTGATATTTTTTATTGAAGGGGATTCAAAGCAGAGTTTGTTGTTTTTATTGAGCTATACAGACAGCAAGTTGCATTTTATAGAAAAAAGTAACTCGAATGTAAACATGAACGTAACACCAAATCTTCTTGTAAACACCTAGAGAGAGATTCATAATTTTTGCAATATGCTTAATCGTAGTTTGAAAATATGCAAAAACTTGCCACTTTAATTACGCCGAAAAATATCAGTACGAAAACTATAAATCGTGATATGACTGTCAATGCTTGAAATCAGATCATAATTGTCTCAAAACAAACTGATCAAATCTAGAGTAGTACCGTAGGGTTGTCTTTCGCTATGATAGGTGGTCTAGATTGATTCTGATTTACAATCATCTTTCTTGTAAATACTTACGTAGGAGATTCTTATGGACATAGCTAAATACCTATGGAGCATAACCCAAGAATATAGAGATGCTTTGCAATTCGAGTGAGGGTTTTTATCTGTTTCAGTATCTTTCTTTGCTAAGAAAAAGACATCCAGGGCGTTCAATGACCTGACATGTTGCCTTCATCAAGTTGATAGGGACCACAGGCAAACCAAGACGGCGACAGCAACGAGGACTAGGCAGAACAAAAGAGCTAGTTACCAGAACTATAACTCACTATCTGCGTTTTAAAACTTTGTACATTTCTTAGCCGTCCTCTGCAAAACAACGGATAATTATTTGAGGTCTCCATTTGGAACTCGCGTATGCATGCTAAAGTTGAGGAGTGTCGCCAAAAGAGACAGCGATCACATCGATCCAGCCATGCCTTAAATTCTAACTAAAGATGTAAGCTCATTTTTCAATAAGTGCCTTCCTTGGTCTTCCTTAGCGTTGCCTTCCTGACTGCCTAAGGTCCCTACTTTTATCTTTTAGAAGGAAATAAAAGTCTCCTTCCCCATACATCCACACTGTCAACTTCTCTCTAACTAAATACCACTTGCCTTAATTTTGCGAACTGCTTTGAGTTATGTTGGAGAGAACTTATCAAAGTTGAAAACTCTACCCAGCTGTTACTCTTGCGCAGCCCTGCCCATTTGTGTAAGCCACAGAGCTCGAGGAGTTTCTTCGGCCCAGCTCCCCCTGGGCCATAAAACAACCTTTCTATCAGAAAATCACAACGTCGAGAAGCCGTATCTTAAATCTTCCGAAACTGAAACTATTGGAAAAGTAGTTCAGATGAACAAGGGTTTTACTTCATTTGAAATACAACGAAAACAGAATGCTGATTACCCGAGTTTTGTTTATTCATTCGTTTATTTACTTATTTATTTATTTATTTATTTATATGTTCATTCATTCATTAATTCACCTTTTTTGGAGCATCTAACCAAGCCGAAACTCTGTTTCTCGTGATTTTATTGGATGATCACGCGCTGATAGCCAGCCCAGTTTCTAGCGATAGGGAACACGCCTCGGCATTATTCTAATTCAGTGCTCATGAATCCGGTCACGTATTTTCAATCTGCAAGGGCTTAGGGACAAAGTTTATATGATACCGTCACTGGGGCTTTATGCCGTAAAATATAAAGGTCATCGGTATTTTATCCATTGAAATACTTCTCCAGTCAAGCCCGAGAAATACGCTTTTTTCAGTCCCGGAAAACTGATTATATCTATACATTAGAAAGTTTTGTAAGAAATATACAACTTTTTTTATCCTACTTGCTACTACTACGACATTAGAAAGTATTTGAGATCTCAGCCTGCTGAAATGTGAAAGGTCTTGAAATCGATCCGTGTCAAACAATTATGGTAACTAATACCACTTGAAACATTTGTAAAATAATGGACAACATGTTGTGCTCTGTAAATGTTGTAATATTTCAACTAAAATGAATTCTAAGTAGCATGTTATCACTGTGATTGAGGCTTTCTCGGTATGTGGTAACGATCATTTGATTTAAACAGACCACGAGAATACCACATGATATGGATAACAGATATTTTTATTTGGAGCTATGGAAGCTGAAGGTCAAGTAATAAGCGCCGCACAGTCTTGTCAACGACTGGATATTGCTGAAAGAGGAATTTATTCATATTTGATCGCTAGAACTGATGCTATAGCCATCATTGAACGATTTTTAAATTTCACTGTTATAAAATTGTCTTCATTTGGTACCCATATACACTGAGTGGCTGCGTGGATGCCATGTCCACGAAGCGCACCGATGTAAACCACACAAGCGATCTTACTCTCGCAATCTTTCATTTTGTGTACACAAGTTTTAATGTTCTGGCTCAATTCCAGACACCATTGTTGGCAAGATCGACTGCAGAACTGCTTGTCGTGTAGAAACGCTTGTAATTCGTCCCGAACACATTCTTGTATCATGTAGTTTTCGTTCTTCGGCTCGATCAGCCGCGCGCGGCACAATTTGTGCGGCAAGGGGTCTAAGTTCTGCGAATCATCCTCTGGCAAAGGAACGTAAAATATGTCCGGGTTGTGAAACTTGTGCAATTTAAGTACCGGTCGAGAGGGTTTAAAAATTACCGATCCGGAACTCTCTTTCCGCACATTTTTAAATTGAAGGGAGCCCTCGCGCGTTCCACGAGGTGATGACAATTTCCCTTCGTGATCGACAGAGGCCGCTTTATTGTTATTCTCATGGGATGGACTTTCAACCTTTTCCTTACCGGAGGCGCCTGGTTTTGAAAGTGTTTTATTTGCGACCCGTGGATCGTCGATTCGTAAAGAATGAATAAATTTTTCATCTATTTCATCGAATATATTCCGTCTTGTTGGTTCTGGGGTACGAGGCAAGGAAGTTTCTACTGTTTGTGATCCCCCTTCCAAAACATGAGCAGGCAATGAGATCCTTCTAATTTTTCGCGTTTCTTTGACGGGTTTTAAGTCCGATAAGCTGTGTTGATGTCCTCTGTCTTTCGATGAGCCCTTTTGAAAAATGTGGAATTTATCATCGTCTCCATAATGGGCAAAGCCGTTTCCGCTTGGACCGAGAGTTTTCGGTGCCGAGTTAATCCGTAAAATTCTATGTTTTCCACCCGGGCCAGTTATTCTTCGTATTCGAGATGAGTTATGCGAAGATTTTCTGCTGGGCTTGAGAAGCCACTGTGGAAGAGAAATCCGTTTAAATCGTCTTGTTTTATGTTCTGCGCTGCTAGGGATGGCAACAGTTTTTTTGCTATCAGTTTCCTCAGGTAAGGGTGAACTTGTTGCGCCATTGTTCGCTTCCACAACAACAGTCGGATCACCACAGCTTTTATAACGTATATTCTCTATAGCCTCTCTTAAGCCACACGATGCCACAGTGACAATCTGTGATTTAAATACTTCAACTTCATAGTGTTCACTGTTGTTGGTCTCGGCCCGCGTGGTGGAGGAATCTTCTTCGTTGCGAGCGGCTGACATTTCTGTTGCGTGGGGCGTGTAATGGGTTAGAAGGAATACGCGACTCATATCTTGGATTTCGTCGTTTCTGAATATGTTATCACAGGCGGGCTTGGATCAGCTTATCTGACCGCGAGTGTATTTATCGCTCTCGTATGGCGGGCTGCATTCTTAAACAGCTCCAAACCACTTCCGAGGCCATAAACCATTCAACTCATACAAGTTCAAGATGAAAGACATTTCAAGAGGTCAATTTCAGTTTTCATCTCGCTTTGTGCAATTGGTTTTTATAAACAACAAATATGTGTGAGGCAGGTTGTACGCTTGCTATTTAAAGATCATCATAGGCTCTCAGAACAAATATATTACGTATTTGACACCCAAACGACGCTTGACCCAATGACCAGGGATTTTTATGGCCTTAATACAAGTCATATCGACTTTCAAGCAAAACAAAAGTCTCACAAGGCGATTAGGGAAATAACTGACGCGCTTAATGTTCGTGACTCATTCTGCACTCATGCGCGCCCTTCAGAGTCATTTCCCGAGCGTAACAGGTGACCCTCTACGACCACGCAAACTCTACAGTTCATGACATTTGCATAGTTGTATCAAATAAACATGTTCACTGGTAGGTATAAGGCGTGAAAAATGGCTAACGCGAATGGAAAACAAACAAAAAGACAAACAAATGAAATCAAGCCGATTTATTCTAAGCAATGGGTCGCCGACGTAATCGGCCCGCCTCAAACAAACCCATGACGGCACTTTCCGTTTTAGTTGGGTAGCCTGTTCAAACTAGGATCCCACGTGCACATACTAGAACTTCATTTGCGTTCACTGATTTCAAAAGTTTTACAAAGGGGCATTCTTGACCGTGACTTGGGCTTACGCGAACACTACAGACAAAGGGGAACGTGGGGGGGGGGAGGCTATGAAGTTGGTATGTTGCTTTCCTACAGATTGTTTTTAACTGCCACAGAGATGGATACTATTCAGTGGAATCATTCCGTTTGATGCACTCTGCCTCACCACCTTTCCTGCAAAGGATGATGATGTGGCGAGCAAAATGGATTTAAGGGTTGTTGGTTCAAGGTTCTTGACCTTTGGTTAGATTATTTTAGGTGAATAACAGGTAACTGGAACTTGTTTGAGGTCAATTGGGAAAAGTCTATGATAAATGGAAACAGGGTGGGTCAAGATGATATCACACACCTTGAATTCAGAACGTACCTTTCTAATCAATGCTGACATTTTAGATTGCCTTTTTGGGTGTTGAAAGTAATACAAGATTGTACTACTGTAGTTTTGCGATTACATCGCCCTGCTATTGGTCCAGAAATTCTGGCCACCCTCTCAACAAATCAGACACTTATCCACGACTCAAGCTGTGTGCATATTTTTACTTTGGTTTAACATTTTTCCTTTTTTCTGATTGGCCGGTGTGACGATATCTGTGCTGATTTAAGGCAGTCAATCGATTTGCACCCTATTTCGAAACTTTAAAAGTGTTTATTCCAGCGCTGTTTCAAAATAACGAAACAAAATGATTTCGGTCTTCATTCCATCTCTATGGATACACAGGATTGCAAAAACGTTGACACCCAAAGAGCGTCAGCAATGAACGATGCGACCCAACGGCTTTATTGCTACACTTGTACATGATAACCACGATTAGTTACACGGCCGTGGAAACGATAGAGGCCATTTTAAAAAGATTTGTCATGAATCATGAAACGAAGTCAAAGTACAGTCGATAGTAAATAAAATTTTTTTGTTGTCACTGTCTAAAAAACTTCGTGTGAGGACGTTTCGGTTAAAATACTATAACCTTCTTCAGCAATGAAATGGCTACGAAAGCAAATGAGTGCTTTAAACACCATGGACACCATGACAGGCAGGAATCCCGATGGAACTATAAAAACTAGCGTCCACCGGACAACCACACACACTGACAAATACCTTCAATTGAACTCTCACCACCCTTCTCAACACAAACGCTCAGTAGCTAGAACCCTTCTCGAGAGAGCAAAGAACATCCCGTCTACCGACGCAGACAGATTATCCGAAATACAACACGTGGTCGACGCCCTGAAGATCAATGGTTACACCAAACAATTTATTAGAAGCTGGCAAAGCACCACTGACGGGGTCTACAAATCAGTCTCAAACCAACAGAGGTTTTGTCACCCTGCCATATTTTCAAGGAATTTCAGAAAAAATTGCAAGAACTTTTAATCAATTCAATATCAATGTTGCCCACAAACCCGTAACGACCGTTGGCTCCATTCTAAAAAACCTAAAGACAAATTTAGTAAAGACTTATCGACAGGAGTGATCTATAAAATCAGTTGTAAAGATTGTGACAAAGTTATATCGGTGAAACATCAAGAGCCTTAAGATCCAGGATTAGAGAACACAAGAGAGCGATTTTCACGGGAGATAGAAATTCTTTATTAACCCAACATTGTATAAAACGATACAATCATGATTTTGACCCTGAGGACGTCAAGATCATTGACCGCTGTTCCCAATGGTCGAAAAGATTATTTTTAGAAGCGTGGCATTCAATTTGTGAACCGAATGCCATTAATGAACACATTTACATTCCTGACATTTACAAGGCCCTTGGCAATCCCAAGTGACGTTTCTGCGGCTCTTTTTAAAGCGCTCATTTGCTTCCTAGCCATTTTATTGCTGAAGAAGGTTATAGTATTTTAACCGAAATTTTCTCACACAAAGTTTTTAGTAAGTGACAACAAAAAAATTTATTTATTATCATGCTTGACTACAACTATAGTATTTTTAAATACAGCCGGTAGTTTATGTAACAGTGCGAACATAAAGTCGTTGGGCCTCATTGTTCATGGATTATACTTTTAAGGTGTCAGTGTAATAGAAAGAGTTCATCTTTTGAATCAAGATAATTTTTTATCACGAAATTTTTCGAAATTACTCGAAGACTAAAATTTTTGTTCTTTTGAAGAGAGTAAACTGACCTGTCTACCCGTAGTTCTGAACTGCACTTTGGTCTGTGAGTTCAGTCTGAACTGATCTGGTCTTTGAGGTCTCTTGGCTGGTTCCCTGTTCCTGGTTGATGGGCTGTAAAACTTTATGGTCAATACACTCTTCAATAAAGATCTGCGAAAGCAATGTACTGAGGCACAGAGAGTTTTAAGTTGAAAAACAAGAAGGTTGCGGAGAGTACAGAATAATCGTTCACCTGAAGGCCAACTTAAATTTCTACCTGATCTATTGATGGCAAAGGTGGACTTGAGGTCAAGTCTACCATACTTTTGTTATCAATCCTGATCGGTATTTTTATTTTTCGCGGCAGGGATAGATTCTTATGGATTCATTTGTGGTAATCCGGGAATGTTCCTTTCAGGCGCTTCTTTGCTGGACTTCTGCGCAATGGACGGAAGAATTAATTTTGTGAGAGTGCTGCGCATGAGGGATTGATGGACTTGTACTCAATCTCCACATCACTTAGCTATAGGCTTCCGACTCTATAGTCTCCCTTAGCTTCACTATATCCACATAATCAACATCGTTCTTGCGAAACTCGCCAGTATGGAATTTGATGCACATGTAGTATTAAATTACCAAAATTAACTGAGCGGTTTTGTTAAAAAGATGTTATGTCGTATTTAATTTTCCTGTATCGACTGCTCAGCTTGAAATTAGTGTCCAGGTAATGCCTTTGCAAAGAAGATCACAATTCTACGATCTAAGCTATGGTTAATGGTAGAGAAGGCTCCTACACCCTGCGTTCAGCACACAAGGAAATCCTAACACAATGGCTCATCTTTCTGTTTATCTTCATGATGCAGGAAATGCCATTCTTCACTCTTTGCGATTTTAAGACTACCGGCTATCTGACAGTTCCAATCCTTTTCCTTGCATTCAGGGAACATCTTTATTCATAAAAGCTAGATACAGGCAGAGCACACTCTAATTCCCTTGTTCCTCGGAACTTCAGTTACGTTTTAGAGGCTTCAAATCGTCAGACGTCTGATGATCATCACTTTTTTTTGGTACCACCCCGCAAGTCCTTGAATTTAAATGTAGCACAAACCAGATGAGACGATGTAAGGTAGCCCCAAAGACACGTACGAGCCGGCGTGCGTGGTTAAATTATTCGAAGGTAGGCACCAGGAGGGACTTAATGGCGGGGTATTTTTGATGGTTCACGATTAAGTTTTTCGATTTTGACGATTGACAGTTAATTTCTTAGGCTTTAGACGGTTGACGTTTATTAGGAAGATATCTTTCAAAGAATCAAACTCAAAATTAACTTTTTCTGTTTATTAAAATGATTAATGAATGTCATGTTAGTATCTCGAGTACTTTGAGGACTCTCTTTCATTTAATTGTCGATTAGTATCTGGCGCACTTTCAGGATTCTCTCTCATTGGATTGGGGCGTTGGTATATCGTGCACTTTAAGGATTTTCTTTCATTTCATTATTCCGTTAGTATCTCGCCAAGCTTTATGATTCTCTATCATTCGACTGTTACATTGGTATCTGGTGCACGTTTGCATCTCGCGCGCTTTTATGATTCTCTTTCGTTCCATTGTTACGTCAATATCTCGCGCACTTTTAGGATTCCCTTTCATTCGATTGTTACGTTTGTGTCTCGTGCACTTTTAGGATTCGCTTTTTCATTAGATTGTTATGTCAGCATCTCGTGCGCTTTTAGGACTCTTTTTCATTCAATTGTTACGTTAGTATCTCGCGCGCTTTTAGGATTCGCTTTTTCATTAGATTGTTATGTCAGCATTTCGTGCCCTTTTAGGACTCTATTTCATTCGATTGTTACGTTAGTATCTCGCGCACTTTTAGGATTCACTTTTTCATTAGATTGTTATGTTAGCATCTCGTGCGCTTTCAGGGCTCTCTTTCATTCGATTGTTACGTTAGTATCTCACGCAATTTTAGGATTCGCTTTTTCATTAGATTGTTATGTTAGCATCTCGTGCGCTTTTAGGACTCTCTTTCGTTCGATTGTTAGGTTAGTATCTCGCGCACTTTTTGGATTGCCTTTTTAATTAGATTGTTATGTTAGCATCTCGTGCGCTTTCAGGACTCTCTTTCATTCGATTGTTACGTTAGTATCTCGCGCACTTCTAGGATTCGCTTTTTCATTAGATTGTTATGTCAGCATCTCGTGCGGATGGTTACGTTAGTACCTCGCACACTTTTAGGATTCGCTTTTTCATTAGGTTGTTATGCCAGCATCTCGTTCGGATGGTTACGTTAGTATCTAGCGCACTTTTAG